ATCTTGCAATCTCAGAGAAAATTCGAAGAATGCTGCCAGTTAAATAGGGTTTGTCATATAATTAAGGAAATTAGCTCCAGGTGCCAGATTAACACCAATAACTTGGAGGTATCTGTAAGTGTTCTCTAATTTTGATCAGTTCTTTTTCAAAAATCTCTTTTTATACTGTGCTTCAGAATACAATTAATTTATGAAATATGTTTAAAAATCTTCCCTTCTACTCCTGTTAGGATAACTTCAAATAAGACTAAGCAGTGATCTTGAAATTTAGCAAATTGTAGGTTGTTCTCTAGGGTGAAGAAATTTGAATATAGTCATTATTTTTGTATTTTTGGCACACAAGAAACATTTCTGCTGCTTCAAAAAATTCCAGTTGAACCACTGGAGCAACATGGACTACTTCCATGATGTTTTCACTACCTTTATAGGCCTTCAAAGTGAAAGTTGCTTAGGTTGTCAATGGAGGGACAGAAACTTCTCGGATTTCATTTAAAATATTTTAAATTGTGCTCTGAGGATGAACAAAAGTCTTAGGGGATTGGAACAACATGAAAGTAATTAATTAATGAAAGATTTAATTTTTTTTGGGGGGGGGGTGAACTATCCCTTTAACATTAGTGCAAATTCCTTTTACTTTTCCATTTGACAGTTGATTTGTTTTTGCTCATGAACATACTACACACAAATAAAATAAATGAATAAATTAGTAAAACCATTGTTAAATTTTGTAAATGTAAATGTAAATGCTTTTATGTAAATCACTTTGAAGTACAGAAAGACAATAACACATACAAATGTTGGCACTTCCTCCACTGACATCTGATTTTCTGCTTGACGTTGTTGGTCCACAGGAGGTCCGGAAGTTGATCCACTTTGGGTCTCCTCTAGTCGAGGCTCCTACAAAAATGCATGGAAAAAAGGGTTACCTACAGTACATTGACATGGTTTTATTTCTTGCAACAAATATAAAGCTACAATATGGCATGCGTTTTTCATACTGACATTTATTCTACACATAATAGTGCTTGGATGCCAGCTTTATTTGCGAATAGTGTAGTATTGTACTATATTCTACATATACTTACTCCAAGCATGGTAAAACACAAACATGATGAATTAAAGATTGCCTCCTTTCTGGAAAAAAGCTTGCATCTCCAAAATTCTGCACAGGTGTGTAAACAGTCCAAAAATCAATCAATAATAAAAATAAAAAAACGTGGTCCTTGGAAGTTCGAAAGGACACATAGGGATTGCTGTCCCCTTCCTTGTATGACCTCACTACATGGAGCGGATGATAATCATCAATGGAGTCAACATCAATGGAATCAATGACAGTAGTGGGAATGACACCGCATGCAAAATAGTGTACCCAAGAGGGTACGAACACTTCAGTCAATGATGGAGTATGCTCAAATCTGTGGCAGACTTGATCAAATTCCTCAATGGAAGCAAGTGGAGTAGTGCAACCAGGACCAAGGTCTTTGTCATGTGCAAATATGTTTTCAGACAAAAGGTTTCTGAAGTTGCATGTGACATGGGAAAGCCTTTTAAAAAAAAACATGCTATGGACCAATAGTGCACCAGAAGAACCAGTCTCCTTATGGCACCTGGATGATGCAGCATGAAATTATGTTTTGGCTTTAGATGTCTATCAAGGAAGAGTTCTAGGAAAAGGCTGTGGTGCTCATCAATGAGATGTCTGAGAAATAATACTGCATCTTCTGTTAAGGCTGGAGAAAAAATATATTCAATACAGGTCAACAAAAGCAGCGAGAGCTCCCGGTATTTGTTTCCCTCTTGAATGAGATGTGCAATCATCAAAGGAAGTAACCTTAACAGCCACATCTGTGCTGCTGTCTGCTTCATCAAACTGTCAGGCATTTTTAGTTCTTGAGGTTGGATTGTGGATGGTTTGTTGGCATAGTCACAGAAGTCATAAACGTAACTTGTGATTTGGTAATTATTCTGGTGTAAGGTTATTACTTTCTGTGAGATGAGAGAGCCTAATACCAATTTAATTTAATATGCACCAACTCCTTCAAGGAGGATAAATTTTCTGTCACATGGAAGTATTTCAGGTTTTTCAAAATGCTCTGTCTTTTAGGCCAGTTTCTGTTGGATTACTTTGCACCAGATCTGAAAGATGGCTATCCTTATTCTTAAGCAGTGAAGGATCTTTCATTGTTTGTGTTTGCATGAATTGTTTCTTCACATGGCACCAGTGACAAGCACTGTTCCCAGAGGAACTATCTGTATAACCAAGGATTGAATTTAGCCCCAAATTATCCCCACAAATGCGGGCAACCCAAAACTTCATTGTGCCTTTGGAGTGAGCCGTGTCTACTTCCACACCATTTGTTTCCAGGTCACTGATATCATCAACAACTGACTTCAGGACAGCATCTATACCATATGTTTTGGCATCATCTGCCTTATAAAGGGAGAATCAAGACTCGAAAGGGACTCACATTTAAGAGTGAAATAGATGAATTCCAATTTATGGATTGAGTTCTTGGAGCCTAGTGGATTAGCCACTTTTTGAGTCATTAAGCTCCCCTTTCCACTCCATTATCTTCTCCATTGTCCCTGGAGTCTCAAGAATGAGTTTCAGTAATGGACATAAAGGAAACCTTTGGAAAGTATCCTGCACTGCCACCTGTTTTACAGTCCATGTCTGTGAATCCCTTGGGTGTATGAGACACCAGGGAGAGGTTGCTCCACTGGCTGAACTAGATACCCAGCTTGTGTTCAGTATCCAAGCAATGCAATTGCAAAGGTTTAGCTGCATTTGCAAATTGCTGATTCAGCTGTTGGCCTTCAGGAGTCTCACTTTGGCCAATTCTTTGTAAGGAAGACATTGTCTGTCTTTGTAAAGCACAATAACAGTATCGAAGACCAGACTGGATGTTTGCTGAACTTCAAAGTTGACAGTAGACAGAGTCATAGATTGTTTTTGCCATCAACTTTGATAGAATCAAGGCCACTCTGTCTGTGATAGTGTTCTGCTCTAACGCATCCCATTTCATATCATTAGCAACATTATCTTTGGCAGCATTATCTTCCTCCTCGAAAGGCTGACTGTGAGAAGTCAGAGGTCTGCTGTCAAGTGTTTGGACTGGCTGGATTCTGCTGCCTCTACATGGTGCTGGAGCAGATGTTGCTTAAATGATCTTAATTAAATGTCCTGTGACACCTGGCTTGGCCACACTCAAAATAACTCGATGAACTCTGTACATTATGCATTCTCCTTAAGCGAGAAAACAAAAAACGAACATTGGCCCCAACAGTCTTTTTGCACTTAAAGCAGATATATCCCACCATGTGCATTTCTTCACGCACAACAAGCAGCTCTCTCTTTCAGACGTAGGCCTATCTTTGGTATCATTGCTTCAAGTGATTTTTCATCAAGCAGTAAGAGGGTTTCTTTATCAATTTGTTCATCTGTAAAGAGAGAAAGAGAGAACAAAAGAGACAAGAAGAGAAGAATGTACGAAAACGGGCTTACCCAGAGCACAATGGGTTATAATGAACATATAAAGAAGTGCATTTTCTTATTACATAAATAAAGTTTACCTTAAAGCTTGGTGTCAGGACATCCAAGTTCCGTTCCTTCAGCTTCTCCTGTACAAAATGTTCCATTATTATTAGCTGTTATTCTGCACCCTGTCAGTGGGAAATTGGGCAAAGTGGCAGAGGCTGTGTCTGTGAGATTTAAGCAGGCATCAGGTTTTATAAAACATTTAAAATGAGACAAAATGATCTGTATATCAAACAGGTGAGAATATGAGAAGTTCAAATACACTTAAAGGGATAGTTCACCTAAAAATAAAAATTCTGTCATTAATTACTCACCTTCATCATGTCGTTCCAAACGCGTAATATAATTATTATCACTGGTGTCAAAAGTATTCACATTCATTACTCAGGTAGAAGTATAGATACTAGGGTTTAAAAAGACTTCTGTAGAAGTTGAAGTATCAACTCAAGCTTTTTACTCAAGTAAAAGTGCAAAAGTACTGGTTTCAAAACTACTTAAAGTATAAAAGTAAAAGTAATGTAAGGAAAAAAATGCCATTAAGGACAAAAGCTTAGGCCGCGCCACAGGGGCCTATTGTGCACTACCCCACCTCCTCAAAAAAACATTTTTCTAAAGGCCATAATGACTATAATTAGATCAGTGTTTTCACCGCTGTCATGTATTTTTAAAATACTACTTATTTCCACTAGAAGCCGCTCTAAACTCACACATCTGTCGTTTCAGCTCAGATTGAACTTGACAAAAGTTAAAAAAGCGGACACAGACATAAATTAAAACATTTATGGGCACAAAAGCTTAAATATCTACTTGAACAAAACAAAACAGAAACATTGTTTTTGTATTTATATCTACTTTATTTACATAAGGCATTTTTGTTTTTATTATTAGTTTATGTGATCCTAAATGTCTGGAGTATATTCGATATGTTTAAGTATAGGATGCTGTATTTTAATACTTAGTTTATTAGGCCTATACAATATGATAATAATAACGATAAATATTTGTCATGTGTTTATGTATTATATACACTACATACATTTTATGTGTCATATTATTTTGAATAATATATATATATATATATATACACAGTGGGTACGGAAAGTATTCAGACCCCCTTAAATTTTTCACTCTTTGTTATATTGCAGCCATTTGCTAAAATCATTTAAGTTAATTTTTTTTTCTCATTAATGTACACACAGCACCCCATATTGACAGAAAAACACAGAATTGTTGACATTTTTGCAGATTTATTAAAAAAGAAAAACTGAAATATCACATGGTCCTAAGTATTCAGACCCTTTGCT